ATTTCAAACATAGGAATTATAACAAAAATCTGAATTTCTTATAGAAAATTCTGACATTACAAATTTTATTTTGATCCCAAATCACAGTAAAGTTCATATTTTCTTTAGTGCACGTAAAATTTAATTTAAAAATGTCATAACATTTTAGTACTGTTAGTTTTATGGAAATATATAAACATTCCCCAAACTAAGAAGTTTCATCACAGTTTAATAAAATGACCAGTCTGTTCAATATTAAATTGTACTTATCAGTAGGATGCCTTTTTCCATAGGAGCTGCAGCATAAAAGCCTAATGAGCCATTTTTCTCATTAGCCTATGGTAGCCAGATTGCTACCATAACATAACAAGTTCCAGTGATTGGCTCGGTAAAAACCAAAACCCACTGCAGTACGCGTGTGCAGTTTTGGAGGATGTAATGCCGTAGGGTTTTTTAATTTAATTTTAAGGTTTTAAATAAGACCATTATGCTGACTTGGAAATGCAGTTAATGTTTTGTTAAGCTTACTCCTGTTCAGAATTAAACATTCAGGTTACATTTTCAGTTTTAAACAAATTCTAAACTGAGATATGCCAGCTGATACCTGATTCTTATTTTCTTTATGGATAGTTAGGACAAAAACTCCCAGCAACAAACCCCAATAGGCTTAAGATTGACCTGCAGAAAATGTTGTGGGTTTGTGACAATTGCTTCCTATCAAAAAATCCTTTATCAAATATTTCTTAAATAAAATTCATGGCAACTTAAAAAAGTAGCAGATGATACCTGACAACCAGAGGCATAAATTTTTTATATAGGTGGACACGGCTGCCTAACTCATGTAACTCTTCTGTCAGAACTTGATTGGCTGAAATAAAAGTCAGGTTTAAACTTAAGGGGATTACTTTAAAATAAAAAAAGAAGAAAAAAACCCCACACTTCCTTAAGTCTCTCATGGAAACCTGGAAAAATTATATTAAACTTTCTGGTTCTGAATGCGCTGATTCTCCCTGCTCACAAATACAAAATAAATAGTGAGCAAACAATATTCTTATTATAGAGGAAAAAAAGGAAGAAAATACTAACAAAATAGACAAATAAGAAAAGAATAACTAATTCCTAAAGTGTTTACTGAAAGGCTTTTAAACTATCTACAGTTTTTCTCTAGGCAACTGTTAAGCTAGTGTTCCCCCTCATAAAATTACCTTTACTTACTCTTTAAGGTTTTTGCAGTGCTTCTGGATTGCAAGGTCTGATTTGAGCTAATCTGACCTGTTGGTTTGTCATGTTTCTGTTAGCTGTTCCTCACTTTGCCAGATGATCCTCCTATCCAAAACTCACAGCACTTCTTTCTCCAGAGCCACGCATCTGCAATCTATTACGCTAATGTCTCTGTTTTTATTTTGTTCTCTTTCTGTTTTTTATTCTCTTCTTCCTCACTGTGGGGAGGGACAGGGGATGACTTCAGTCCCATACCATAGTATCATACCATATGCCCACTAGGTAACTTAGGTTATTATAGGGTTAATCATAGAAATAATGGAAGTGGTGGCTAGCGTAGGGTAGAGGTACTGACAGTGGAAAGACCAGGACACTCTGTCACAATGACATGGAAGCACTGTTTCTGAGGCACCACTGTTCCCAAACTGAATGGTACAAGATACACTGTCTTGGCAGTATAAGCTTCTCAAGTATATGGCTCCATCTTGCTTTCAGTAAGTTGCTGCTATTATTGCTTTTCAACTACATCCTAAAAAGTGGACATTAGAATGCTCATAAGAGTCCATCTTAAAACAGATAGGGGTTTTCAGGGTGCTATAAAAGGCCAAATCATTTAAAAGTGATGTTTTTATCTGAAAAAGGCACCTGAGGTTAGTGGAGCCTTAGAGATTAATGATAGCATAAGGGGTTTCAAAACCAAAATAGGATACATCTTCGTTCACAAGAAAGGAGACAGAAACAATGAGGCATGGTGGCTTCTCCACGCCTTTCTTCCCCAGCTCATGCTAGGGAAGATGAGTCTGCATGCTCCAGAGACACTGGACCCTCCCCCGCCAAACCCTGGAACACATATGGAAGAAAAGAAAGTCTCTCACCTCCAATCTTCCTGCATTCACTTTGCTATCCATGTGAGCCTCTTCCTGTGTCCTTTCTTTTCTTCCATTTCCTTCTGTTCCTTTTCTTTCTTCCAAACTCTTTCCTATTTGCAAATGTTCTACCTTGGCCACCTGATTCTCACTCTTTTCCTCATTTTCAACGGTCCAGTCCGTAATTCTTCGCAACCATTTGTATGAGTATTTTTTCTCCTTTATACCATTTGAGTGCCTTTTACATTTCTGATGTATTTTGATCATTGTTTTTCAAAGCTTCCAATTTCAAATATGAAGAGTTCAGTCAGGAATTTTTTCTTTCCATTCCAAAGACTTCTGCTATGGATGGGATTCAGACTGATGTGGCCTAGGTGCAGGTTAGATCCAATTAAAGAGTTTCTGGAACTAACTGTTCATCTGAAAAAAGGCAGGGAGCTTTTGGGCCACGATGTTCACAAGGTGATAGTACGATCCATTTCAGCAGAGCGTTAGGCTCTCAACTGCTCAGGTAGTCTCTCTCCTTCACAATTTACTGTTTAACTTCCCATGAGATATAATGGTTGTTAAATACTACATAGAGTAAATTTTGGGTAACTGAGATTAGGAATGACAAGATCTGTGATTTGTTTAGAAAGAATGTCCGCGGACAGTATGCAGATCTCGTTTTAAAGAATTATGGCAGCCATGGTGTCTCAATTAAAAAAGTCTTAAGTCAAGGGCTGTTGGACCAACCACCCTATATACTTGAGAAGTAGGGCCCAGATTGCCTACCACGTTATGATTATTATTGCGCAGTGATAAGGATGATCTGATGGATGTGGATAATAGATGGTCTGAACTCTCTTGAACTTAGAGGCTTTTATCAGTCTTAAGCATCTGGTAGTTGATCTGAGTATGATATACAATTCCTGTGTATGCAAGTAACTTGACTTTTCTCAAAGGCGCATTGCAGATGTAACAGAAGCAAAAGAAACATGACAGACTTTTTGATGTTTTAAATATACAATGCTAAGACCTCTCCAATATCATCAAACTATCATTTGATATTATCATCAAAATATCATCTAAAAATTCTGTAAAATTAACTGCCCATAATAAACAGATAGTTAGAAACCAGTCTCAGTCTCTTGCTTTTCTATTTTATTATGGTGCTTTGATTATAAAATTCATATTTTTGAGTGACATAAAAAAATCTCTAAAGAAATGAGTAGTTCAGTCTTTGGAGTCTTCAGTGCAGATGTGTGTGAATAAGTTATGTAGTATAAGGTGAATACTTGGAAGCCTAAAAAAAGGAAAAAATTAAGTATGCTCATTAATTTAACATTACCTATCTTGTGCAATGCACAGGGTGTACTTCTGTGGAAAAAAATACGTGATCACCTATTTGAAGATTGTATCATGCATGAGAGTACCAAATTAAGGCTGCATGGTTAATGCTCTGGGAATTGATTTCAAATTAATTGTACCAGTATATTACATTAATATTATTTTCTGCAAGGAAAACGTCTTGTGTGAACAGTGAAATGTGAAAAGTGTACACGTGCACACATGCGGAAAATTTTCCTTTTTAATGCAGATCATCGTCTTGATTCATGACGGCACTTACTGCTTCCAGTAGCTGTGGTGGCCAGCTCTTACGCAGATGGGAATTGTGACCAGCAGGATAAAGCTGCTCATGGCAAGCCGGGGCAGAAGCATCCAGCACACGGCCAGGGACCAGCACTACTTACAAGGGTGCAACTTTGGTGCAAGACCCTGCTCCTGAAAAAGCTGACAGCATGTGTCCGTTGTACACGTCCTGCATGTAGGGTGGCGTGTTGGCGCCCGAGAGGCTGATGCTCAGCACCTGCTAGGATCAAGGCCTACCTCAGTGGAGGCCTCGGCGCCGACGAGGCCGGCGGCCTCCCCTGCGCGCCACAGCCGCC